CCGGGGCGAATCATTGAATGTTCCGTCTGCCCTCTAGCGTCTATCAAATAGTTTTCAGTTTGAAAAAACTGATAACAATTTCACGGAAAAAAATGAAATATTTTCTTCAGTTTTCAGAGGACTGTCGGAATATTTAGAGCTATAACATGATATACGACCAGTCTTGTTGTGTCCAGGGCAGTTCAAAACCTGCATCAGAAGATTACATGCATTAATACAGTTTCACCAAGCAAAACTTAGCCGAAATAAATCATGTAAAAAATTTACTGTTAGTTTCAAGAAAATATTTATTTTTCGATAAAATTGGTCGCTTTAAGTCCAAATTCTAGTTGCATTGAGTAATATGTTGTCAAAATTAGGCCAAAGTTTATTCACACAACCAAAAATACGCATAATACTACATATTAAAAAATTAAGCAACAAAAATGCTACCAAGTTTTTAAGCAGAAATATTAAGCAGAAACCTTAAAAAATAAAAATGACAAAAACGCTTTAATAAACGCTTTGTAAACTATCAGGAAATCTTGAATAAAAAAGCACAACTCCAACCACTTCTTAGATAAACAAGAGTTTCACTCATATTTGATTCATCTCAAGCAATTAAAAAAAGGAAAAAAACGGGGCGAAAATGAGTTTTATATGGATTAATTTTTTTGAGGATGATTTTTTCTTGTTCGTCTGTGATCCAAATCACTATATACTACAGGCGAGGATTAACCATGTTCAAGTCTATGTTATGTTGTAGATAAGCAAAACCGTTACTATATCATCTTTCTTAATCTTGTAGCGGTCCAACTCGGACTGACCGTTTTTCTGATAGTTACGATATCTCACAATTTACTGACACTATCCAAGCATCTCAAGTTATATCAGTCTCAAAACCAAAATATTGTTGGTTTTCAGACTAAAAAGAAAAATTTTACTATGGAATCTGATTAAATGCTGGCCTCCAAATTTTGTCTGTTATAACCACTCATTCTTGCAATTTTTTCAAATCTTGCGATTGGTTTTTGTAGAAAAAAAAAATAACTTCGCCTAGCAAATTGAATATGGTTCTTGCAAAAAAAATTAAAAGTTTTGTTTCGCATTTTCAATTTTTTCCTTTATATCTGATTTTCTGTTGGAAAATCAATGTTTTGGTACTGTTCTTTGCAGCATCAATTGGTTATCATTGTTGTTCCCACCAGTAATGTTTTTTCTCAATTCTGACGTTCCAGTTTTGAGTTACAAACTTTGCAATACTTTAGCTATAACTCCTAATCATGTGCGGACTCCTTACAGCATACAATCGACCTTTACTAAAAAAACTGTTAAAGATTTGAGCTTAAAATGAAAAAAAAAATTTTGGTTTCTGCTTTTGTTTTTGATTCTTGCTTTTGTTCTTTGTCTCTTGAGTTTTTTAAATTTAAATTTTTTGGTCAAATTTTCAAGTGCTACTTGTATTGCAAACGGTTTTCTTTGCTCTTCCAACCACCATTGCAGAATCGGGTCATTTTTAGGCCCAATTTCAACTCTACCGCAAGGAAACTTTGCAGGGGGTAAAATGTATTATAAAAATGGTTTTTTGCCAGTGATTCGGATTACAGTACACAAAGGAAATTTTGTATCTCAGAGTTGAGATCTGAATATTTGCGACTTTCAGATTATTTTAGACAAAATATGGTGAGAGGTTGTCCACATCACTCATCAATTTATTTCTACTACAAGTTGATCCTTGTTTGAGCTTTTATTACATATCGTTTTTGCAGTTTCTTTACCTATTTTGGTCACTCCTTACTAAAAAGTAACAGCAATTTCGAAAAAAAATGAGAAAAAAGAAAGTTAAGTGTTTTGCAATTTTTTCCTTTGATTTTTGAAGCATATTGTTTCCTTTAATTTCTTTTTAATAATTTTTTTTGGTCGAATTATACTGTGCTACTTGTACATCAAAAAAAAATTTTTAATTTTTGAAATTGTTACGTTTTAAAAATTTGGTTGCATTTTTTTCAACTCATACACTTCACTGAGAAACAGGCAGCCCCGATAACCAAAAGAATCTATTGAATTGATCAAAGCTCAGCTTCAAATTGTTAAAACAAAGAGACCGGCAAAAAAAATTAGAAAAAAAAATTTACAGTCCATTATTTTGAAAAAAAAGTCATAAAAAACAACCGAAATACACGTCGTTTATTATCATTTTTTTCACAAATCTTCGGAAGTATACACAAAAACTGTCGAATTTTGGGTAGAGATGAGCTTCAAGTTGTAGAAAGTTTTGTCGATTCTATAGATGTCAAAGCCATTAAATCCAAACTGCTGGTAGAGACACCTGCTGGTATAGTCCTTTAGAGGCACGATCGAAAGCTTTTATCAGAAAAATACGACGGAGCGTTTGAAAAAAAGATAAAACATTGATTTTTTTGGTATCATTTCCCACACGCTATGAAAAACATAATGATAAACATTACTTCTCATAACGTAATGATAACACCAAACAAGACAGCTCGTATATCACGGCAAAGCCCTGCTTGTTCCGACTGCCCCTTAATCCATATCGAACAGTTTTTGGGAAAAAATATTGAAAAACTGTAACCTTTGGACAAAATTGATAACCAAGTGAAAAAATTTGAGTGTTACGAAATTATTACGACTGATTAGCTATCCTCAATTCTACTTAGGTAATTATATGCAATTTGCTCTGCAGCATAAATCGCCACGCTTAAAAGAATTTTTACGCTTTGAACATTATTAATAAAGTCTTCAAACGCGCATAAATTAGTCCAGAGCATTGCCAAATTGGTCATTATTAAACGCCCAGAATTTGCAAAAAATGATTGAAGTAAAAATATCTTTTTATATTTGATTTTAGGGAGTCAGCAACTTCAATATGGTATAAAAATTGTTGTCCAAAAATATTATTTCAATCGACGAAAAAAGACTGAATAAAAAACCGTCCCAAACATAATTTTTCCATTTTCTCCTAAAGTTAGAACAATTAACTGCTTAAGATCAGTTTGAAATGGTTAAAATTGCTGCTTACATTTTTATTAGGAAGTTCATCATGCAACATTGCAACATTGGCACTTTTCAATATTGACAGTTTTCGAGAAAACTTTAGCAAATTGACTATCTTTTTAGTTTTGAAAACAAGACGCTGGAATTTGTTTGGAATTTAAAATATCATCTTGCATAGGCATCAGAAACCTTATTTCATGATTTGTTTCGAACGTCGGAAAAAAAGAAAAAACTGATCTTTCAAGGCTTTTTTCAGGTCGTGAATTTTTCGAGTGCTATCTAAAACACGACTGATTGTCGAGGATCTGTTTATTTGGTTTTAAACAATGTTTCAGCGCTTGAAGAAATTACGGATTAATTATGTGTGATCGCAATAACAATTACTGACGGAAGCTTAAGTGCAGTTGTATTCAATATTTTTGAAGCCGTATTTTATACTGTTTGTGTGAAGAATGATCAGTACCACCCTTCAATGAGTTGATGCAGGCTTTGCAGAAAATTGTTTAGATTATTAATTTTTTTTTAAAAATCGATGTTCACCAAAATAACTTTTTTTGGCAATGTATGCGACATTTGTTCTCTCAATAAATTAGAACCACGTCCAAGCAGGCTATCATTATCGCTTAACTTCCAAAAAAAATGTTTACTCAAATTATCAGAAAAGTAAAGAGCCCGGATTGTTAGAAATCGAGTGGTTTTTGAAATAAC